TACGTTGGTATGCCCGTGCTTGGTGAAATCCTAGCCTGCTTGGTCGTTCCTCGGCGCTCCGTTCTTCAGCGCCCGACAGCACTGTAGTGGAGCTGTGGGTTGTCTGTGTGTACATGTAATATGACATACAATAAAACCTGGTTTAAGCGACCTCTGCGTTTAGCGACCACCTGCTCTTTTAAAACCACCGCTTTTCCATGCACCGACAGTTCTGCACAGACACTGTGGGACCTGGTTCTAAAGACCACCTGGCCTTGACGACCGCTTTTGCTTGCACCGTGGGGTGATCGCTTTAAAAACCAGGTTTTATATAGGTACTGCTACTGCTGCTACCGCTATTGTAGGTGTATGCCGTTATCCACACGCTGGCCACTTGGTCTTACTGTGAACCTCCAAACTTTAGCAACACGTAGACCGTAGCCATTTTGTTTTTAGCAAACAGTACCATTATTTCTTCAGAATTCCCAAACTTCATTGCAGCGTATTTCTTGCACTTGAAAATACCGCCATTCCGGCAACAGGCTCTCAGCTGCACCAAATAGATAAATTTATAAATAACGCAATGCCCTGATGATGCCCAATGGGCGAAATATTGGCAAAGTTATTTTATTTATCTATTTGGTGCAGCTGAGAGCCTGTTGCCGGAATGGCGGTATCTTCAAGTACCATTATTATTATTATTTTTTATGCTGCTGCCTTAAAAGTTATGACACACATGACGCCCCTACGAACAGAATGCAGGGGCGTCGAACACGGTACGGTCACTACGGTATTGACCGTACCACTATTTGCCCCAAGTACCCTGTGAATCAATAAAATGAACTGATTTGAGCTCTAATTTCCCAACATTTTCGGCTCAGCCATCCCTCCCCCACGAGTGAATTGTACTTCAGATGGCTGACCGTACCACACTAAAATACGTTCCGACGGCCCTGGAATGGTTATGGGCTATACATACTAGGACGTAACTATACCATCAGATACATGCGCGTACCCATCTGTGTTACTGGGTTACTGCGCAGTGACTCAGTTACCTTTCTTCTGAGCGCTTTTTTTTTCTTCCTTTGCCAGTGTACACACATACTGCAGATCTACTCCGTCTGCTCGCATTACCCGAAAAGTCGCTGCCGCCTGAATTCTTCTATCGCTAAAATGAGTGGCCGCTAAAACGTCGGCAACAGAAAATCGCTAAATTTATTCGTCGCCAAAGTTTAGGCGGTCACAGTATTGTTTCACAGTTTTGATTGCTGAAGAAAATGTTGAACGGTCGCTGCTTGCATGACGACTACAGCATAGCTTAGTGGTAGAGTATCCCTGGTCATAAGCGAGGGTCCCTGGTTCGAGTCCTGGTGGTGACAGTCAGTTGTTTCTTCTGACTGTTCCCGTTTGCAACTTTCTCGCAAACTAATGAATATTCTTGATTGTTTTTGTTGTAACTCGTTTTTTTGTTGTCATTTTTGTTGCCCTTGCCCGTTGTTTTGTGCTGCAAGGTTTCGCGCAGCGTCGTATTCCAGGAGATAACGTTTGAGCTGCCGATCGCCGCGGAAACGGAACGCGATCCCGCTCGCCGCTCGTCCGCCGCCGTCCCGTCGCAGTCCTACCAACACTGGCGTCTGCGCTACTCCTGTCCTGGTGCAGCGACATCGTCAACGGTGACCAGTGATGACGCGCCGAGTAGCTGAGAGACACGGACAGGTTCAGTCCATCCTGGAAAAAAACAAGCACCGGATATTCAGTTTGCAGAGAAGATTCATGTAATCGCGGTATTCAAACTCAATCTCCGATCAGATCGAGTCAAGTTTGTATTGTATTTCATGGATTCTCCACGGGCCTTGGCCTAAATCGGTGGAGTCTCCAAATTGAAACTACCTTAGCAACGGTCTTCAAACTCTACCTCCGATTGAATCAAGGTCACTTTAAGATCCCATCAAGGTCAGCTGACCCTACCTTTCAGACCAACGCCACAACGGTCCGTGCAACAAGCACACACAGGTTGCCCCTTGGCAGCACAGCTCTGTAGCGCGCGGTCTCTTTCATCGCGTATGACATCATCATCGTGATAATTATGATCATGTGCGTGTGACATCATCATCGTGTGATCATGTGCATATGACATCGTCATCATTATACGATTGAGTGTGTATGACATCATCATCATCATCATATATTATGATCATGTACGTATGACATCGTCATCATTATACAATTGAGTGCGTATAACATCATCATGACATCATGATGCGATTGTCATGAGACATGTGTGTGCAAGCGGTTGCCATATTGCCTCCGGGAATTTCCCAATGTTGCGGATGCCATCTGGCACATCAACCCGATACGTACACATGTCTTGCATGAGAAGAACGATGAGGTCATCGATGTCATCTCAGTGATCTCACTCAACAGCAGTGATTTCGTCACCGGGTACGATTTTTTCAGCCGGTGTATAATTTGAATTATTTTTAATTTCGCTATTTACTTGGCATTGATTACAGTACTCGGATTAGCCATGATGCGGTCAGGCATAATTATGCTATCGCCTGTGTGTGTGTGTGTGTGTGTGTGTGTGTGTGTGTGTGTGTGTGTGTGTGTGTGTGTGTGTGTGTGTGTGTGTGTGTATGTGTTTGTGTGTGTGCATGCGTGCATGTGTGCGGGCGGGCGTGAATAGTGGCGGTCAATTCTTCAGCCTTGCAAGCTGTTGAATGGTGCAATCCCAGCACAAATTGCTATGGCTTCTGCTGTAGCATCGCTATCATCGCCTCCGGCAATGGGCGTCAAATAGTCAAATGGTGTGCGTGCGTGTGTGTAGCCCGTGCGTGCGTGTGTGTAGCCCGCGCGCGCGCGCGCGCGATGAGTCTGGCGTTCCCCACCCGGTGGACAACACGTCTCCTGGTATGCCCCTTATACGGGGCCGCGTAGCCAGTCATGGCAGTGGAAAAAGGAAGGAAGTGTGTGTGTGTGTGTGTGTGTGTGTGTGTGTGTGTATGTGCGTGCGCATTTGTGTGTGTGTGTGTGTGTGCGAGTGTGCTTATGACTGTGTGTGTGCGCGCTCGTGCGTGTGCGTGTGTGACATTGAGGAGCAGTTATTGTTGTATATATCGGTGTGACCCAAGCTGTTCAGCGTAAGCGAAGGCTCAAAGTCTGCAGACTCAGCAGACTACTATACTGCTCTTACACTTCGACGCAGATGACGAGAGAACTGACACGCCGAACTTTATGATAATAGAAGTAGAAATGCTGCATGTTGAACAAACACCGCATTCTCCGGAGTACTTCACATGTAGTATAAGTGCTGCACTGGAGTATAATCGTCGCCCAAATTGTTTGTCACGAAATACGCACACCTGCATTGTACTCCGGTTTATCACCATTCATTTGACCATAGTACGAGTATAAACTTTAAAGCCACACTGACTTTTGGGGGGGGGGGGGGGGAATTGCCAATTTGCGAGTGCTTTTAAATTAAAGTGCGGCTTACACTGCAGAAAACACGTTACATGGTCACCGTGAACCGTGTTGTCTGTGATAGATTCAAGATCAGAGTGCTGCCACAGGTTAGCGCATAGTACAGTATGTTACACGGTACCCACAATGGGAAGTTACACCCAGACAATTGGCTGAGTGGCTAGACACCTCTGTCTATGGTAGTGTGTATAGAAAGCAACTCATGAACCTCGTGTCACCATTTTGTTCAGGTTATTCATCAAACCCCACACCGTTAGGTGCTGCGTCTGCCGCTGAGTTTACCGTGTGTTAGCAGCCGTCGTGAGTTCTCTTCGGGAACGGACACGATAATTTACTTTTATTCATTAGCAGCCGTCATGAGTTCTCTTCGGGAATGGGCACGATATTAATTTTTACTTTTATTCATTAGCAGCCGTCGTGAGTTCCCTTCGGGAATGGACACGATGTTAATTTTTACTTTTATTCATTAGCAGCCGTCGTGAGTTCCCTTCGGGAATGGACACGATATTTTACTTTTAATCGTTAGTAGCCGTTGTGAGTTCTCTTCGGGAACGGACATACCAATTTACTCTCTCTTTTAATTGTACATCTATTGAACATTTACGAAGTAAAGGATATAGACTCGGCCGGGAGGAGCGTGATTTTTTGTATTGATTTTTTGTATTGTATTATTTTGTATTTATATTTTACTTGGGCATTCCCAACAGACCCTAAGGCTAAGGTCTTCTTACAGGGTGCCCAAGATGATGAGTTTTGGCTTGGTGAGAAGCTGGCGCCCAATGGTCTTCGTCAAGCTCCTCTTGACAACTAACTGTTCAAGACCAACCATTCTTTCATAGATACCTCCCATACACGTCGCATACTCAGTTGTGAACTCAGTTCCATGCGGCACGTTGTGATGCTGCCTAAATGCTGCAACTAGTTACTTGCTGGTCACGGACAAATGTAGCCCAGCGGTTGTTGAGGATGGTGCTGGCAGCCTTGAACTGAGGGGCGTTGTCACTCAGGATCTTCGTGGGGCATTCTCGGCGGCTGTTGATGAGATGAATCGCCTCAGGCAGTCGAGGAACATCTCAGTGGTCATGTCGTCCATCCACTCGGAGACTCCTTTTCTCGCACCAAATTATTATTATTTTTGCTACTTGACCCTGCACCCCCCCCCCCCCCCCCCGCCACCCATTTTTCGATGCCAGGATGCAACGCTAGCGCCGAGACCTCTGGTGGGTCGAGTTGCTCCCTGTACATCGACACGTCGTCCCTACATCCCCTGTGTCTTGTTTTGTGTTTGTCTCCACATGTCTCTTTCTAGGGCTGTGTTTCCAGTAAAATTCCGGATGAATAGCTCTGGTTGAAAGGCATGCTAAATAGGCCTTGACAGATTATGCTAATATTTTCGTGAAATTATGCTTTTCGCATTGCTGAAGAAATTGCAGAATTATGTATATAATAACACATGGTACGGAGGGCATTATGGCTGATTTATGCCCTACAGTGTAGTAGCCCGAGGTCGTGCACCGTAGCCCAAGGGCCGCAGGCCCGCGGGCTACGGTGCACGACCGAGGGCTACGCACTAGGGCATACAATCAGCCATAATGCACGACGCACCATGTGTTTATTATAGTTCATACATGCCACGTGCCTAGTTGTAGACAAATAAGGTAAACATGGTCAAGGGAGGAGGAAGGTTCCAATCAGCTGTCATAGGAATGAAGGGTCGAACAAGATCGGAAGGAGCTTTCTCCGTGGAATGATAGAACGTTTTGTGTCAGATTTACTTGCAGTTCCAGGAATATGTCTTTGCATTTTGGTGTTAGTGTTGCCTATTGGGCGGTACGGAAGTTAACTGATTCGCTGCTGCTTTGGCGTTAACGTTGGCCGCAAACATCCTTGACCAAGGGGCACTAGTAATTAGACTAGTTTTGAGAGTACATTGTAAGTGTTCTTATTCGGAACAATGATACTTTTTCACATACATCTGAGATTTTGTTCGCATTGCTTTCAGTTTACTTGAGGTCCATGTGTACACTGGACAATCATGTAGCTAGGTACATTTGAAGTACATGTACATGTAGATGTAACTGTATATTATTTTTGTAGGAGTTCAAGATACAATCTGATCTCTTCCAGATAGGTAACTTTGTGATGCATGTTCACCTGTTGACTTGTTCGTCTCAATTGACTTGAATTTAGTAATGCATGGTAAGGACATGTTTGTTGTTTGGCTTTATTTAAAGTGGAGTTCCAAAACAGGCCTAAACCTAATGACAATGGTCCCACTGATAATAAGAGAAAAGAAAATATAATAATAAGCGGACAAACAGAACCAAGAAGAAGATACAGCTGTAGTTAGATAACTAATATGAGCACGGCAGCAGGGGAAAAAAAGTCACAAGCACGGCAACCGGGAAGAAAGGAGTGAGTGAGTGTGAGAGAGAGAGAGAGAGAGAGAGAGAGAGAGAGAGAGAGAGAGAGAGAGAGAGAGAGAGAGAGAGAGAGAGAGAGAGAGAGAGAGAGAGAGAGAGAGAGAGAGAGAGAGAGAGGTAGTGAAGCAGATGAGTTCATCCTAGTTGACGGTACTGCCTAACAGAAAGGCCAGGCTTAGCGATTTGAAAGTGGAGCGCTTTCTTTCGAGGCGTGCTGTGTCTGGGAGCTGGTTCCACAGGATAGCTCCAGCATGGCTAATGCGCTTAGCTGAGGATGCAGTGGGGGAGACAGGAATGATGAGTAACTTGCTGTTCCCTCCTCGTGTTCGGAGAGAGGGACTACGGGTGAAAAAGCTTGCAAACAGAGTACTTGAAGATTTGTTCAGGCAGCGCCAAATGAATACAAGGATGTGCATGTGGGTGTATATGCTGAGGGTATGGGCATTCATGCGTTCAAGTAAGGGAGCCGTGTGAGTGCGAGGGGCTGCCCTGCACACCGAGCGAGCCGCACGTTTGAACAAACTATTTAGGCGCTTATCCTGATAAGACGATAAGAAAGGGGCATAGGCAGCAGATGCATAGTCAAATTCTGATAGTATAAAGGACCTGAAAAACTGAACACGGCAAGAAAAAGGCAAACATGCTGCACTTCGATTTAGTAGCCCAATCTTAGCGGCAACGCGGCGTGCAACATGGCTTGTCATGGTGTTCCAGCTCATGTCTGAGTCGAAATGTAGGCCAAGATACTTGGCCGTTTTCACAACAGGCAGCGTCTGCCCATTACAAATGACATGCAGCTCAAGTGCTTGAGATGGGGATGGGGGAATAGGCAATATCTGTGTCTTTCTTTCATTAAGAATTAAACCACGGCCCTTCAGCCAGGTGGCCAGGTGCTGAACAGCAGCTGAAAGGTGTGCAGAAACAGCTTCCGCAGACTCCCTGCTACATCGTATAGAGATGTCATCAGCAAACTGGATTGCTCCCACATTAAACGGCGATAGTTCTTCTGCTATGCCGCGGGCATAGACAATAAATAGCAGTGGGCCCAGTACCGACCCCTGGGGGACACCTGAGTAACTGGTGTACGGGAGACTTCTAGTCTGGCCGACCTGAACGTACTGTTCTCTATCAGAGAGGTAATCCACCAGCCAACAGAGTGCCGTGTCGCAGATGCCAAGTTCGAACAGATCTTGCACAAGAGTTTGATGTTTCACTTTATCGAATGCCTTTGACATATCAACAAAGGCTACACCTGTGTTGAGTCTGTTCATACGGGCCTCACAGATACCTTCCACAGCTAGCACTAGTGCGTCGGATGTAGAGTGGTGGGATCTGTAGCCGAATTGAGTTGGCGGGAATATATTGCTCTGGACTAGATATCGTGTGAGTTGCTCGTGGACTATCCTTTCCAACACTTTGGATGCAATCGATAACAAGGACACTGGTCGATGATTCTTTGGCATGCTCGGATCTCCGCCTTTGAAGAGTGGCGATATCCTAGCACTTTTCATCTGGGCAGGAAATATGCCCTCTCTCAGAGACTTGTTAAAGATCAAAGTCAGGGATGGCGCCAGTACGTCTGCATGTGCGCAGAGAAGGGCTGCAGAAATGTCAT